AAAATGCAGCTTTAAAATGCATCTCTAGAGTCTTTAATGAGATTTATATACAAACTGTTCTATGAATTTAAATTTTTTTGTTTATTATAGTAAATTAGCATTTCTGCAATACAATAAAAACACATTAGAAAGAACTCTTGGTCGTTTTATAAGGTTGCTGCTGCTGCTGCAGTTTTAGACATATTCTGATGCTAACAGACAATTCAAATATGTTTTTTCAGTGAAACAGGAAACATATGACCCATGACACCACACATGTTGATTCTTTAGAATGATGCCCTTCCCAGCTTTGCCTATTCATCATTTCCACTTTGCAAATCAATACTGCAGCAATACACAAATGTTTGTTGTTTGAAAGCAACGGTGCTTATGGGCCATGTGCAGGCTTTTCCTTGAGGCTGTATTCAAATACTGAGGCAGAAGATAAATTGCTCTGTCTTTAGCTGACAGGTGCTGAAACATTTGAGAACGACACCTGTGCAAGTCACACGAGGACTGTAAGGACTGGAAGTAGAAATGAGTAGGGAGTTGAAGGGAGAATGGAAAGTATATTTTATAAATTGATCTATTGTTGTGCACCAACATGTTTGCATTCGGGTATCAACTTCCCAAAAACACTGAACAGAATGAATGGTTTTAAAATGTTTAAAGTGCTATAATTAACTTCTAGACTTCTGCAATGCTAACACAAATACACCTACACAGAAAAGTGTATTTGTGAACTGTGGCCACGAAATGCCAAATTCCATGCATTTGGTTCCCCTAAACCTCAAAGTTGTACTGCTCTTTCCCCCGTAACCATCTGTGCTACATCATATTGCAAACATGAGATCATCGTACTGTAAGATCTATCAGTGTACAGATAGGTAGTGCCTGTGACCACTGAGTTTGACATGGGTGTGAGGCTAAATAAACCATTCACTTTTTACAAAGATTTGTATTCAGCACCTTCACTCGATGACAGCTTTGGGTCAATGTTTTGCTAGCTTTCAACTCAAGCAAATCCTGTATATAAACGGTCCATTTTTGATGATGAAATGCCGCCACGTAACTATGTATGAACACAGTTACAGTACATGGCCCACAGCGGCCGTTTGGTCATTTCCCGCCTATTTTCTTTTACCTCTCAGGTTATAAGGTCACGAATAACACAACTTGTGTAAGAGCACAAAATGTTTTGCTCAATTAAAAAAAAAAAAAGAGTTTACTTACTTTTTGGGCAAAATTGATAAATTTTGGGTTCATCAGTTTGTAATGATAAAGTGACATATGGAGCATTTGTTGTAAATTAATCTGGACCATTTAGGCTGTAAGACTTTCCTTCTTGTTCTTGTTCTTTTACAGTTTGTGCATTATAACTTTTAATAGCTTAATAAGACAACAAAAAAAAAAAAGAAATGTGACCTTACTATTTTCAAATGCTTTCAATTACATAAAAATACCACAACCAACCAAAATAAGTGATTAGAAATGCAAGACTTGATCCAACCACATTGCTTTGAGCCCTATTTCTCCAGCTTAATCAGACACAGTCTCTTTTCCTTAATTGGACATTCAGTATTTCTTGGTGTGTTGAAAAAAGACCTGTTCAAGAAATGTTCAGGCCTGTATAAATATATTTGAAGGCCATACTTTTGTGTCAAAGGCAAAAGCAAGCCATCTGTGGTTAAATGGTTTATCCCACTGATCAGTGCTGCATTAGTCCAGTGACAGAGAGGCAATTGATCTAGTCCTCTGTAACTGAACAGCCTGAACAGAGCAAGCATAGGACGCATGTGACTGCCATATTAATATTTCATGACAGTTGTCATGAATAGTAACGAGCTGTATACATAAAATACACTGAATATAATTATCTTAATTATATAATCCTAATGTTTGTTAAATCAAGTAAAAATCAAAAATTCAAATAAAGGGCAAAGTTTTCATGACTCAACACCACACAAAACTACAGTGAAGTACTGTATATATTTATATATCAAAGGCCTATAACACTAACTAATTCTACTAGTGATATATCAGTGATATATCAAAGTTCAGATGGTTCACATCACTGTGCATACAGTGCAGCTCATGAGAGAATTAATAAATATTTGATAATACCTGGCAAAACTCATTGGCTTACATTAAATAATGATAAGATTAATTCTGCCCAGTTAAACAAACACTAGATATACATAAGAAATACATAAGCTTATTAAACCAATTGTGATAAGATGGAAACTATAGCCAGCGAAAGGACTTGATTTCAGATATAAAAATGCTAATTCAAAACATACGCACCCTCAGAGAAAAAGGTACAAAGCTATCACTGGGGCAGTACCCTAAGGCACGAAAGCTAAAAAGTACACCTTTGTACCTCATTTACCCCTAAATGTTTACTTCCCTCATATTTGTATCGTAAAGGTACATATTACTACTTTAAAAGTACATATTAGTATCTAAAGTATACATATAAGTACCTTTTGAAAATTGACAGTTTTTGTAAAAAAAAAAAATTCCTGAGTGTGAGGCTGTTAAACCTAAACATAAAAATAAATAAATAAATAAAAATTACTTACAAAGCCATGCAATAATTTTTGTCTTTTTGAAGACGCATGCCCTAACAAATAGCAAAAAAAAAAAA